GAAAGAAGATGAATGCACCATCGATTTGTAGTGCTCACAGAGAGTAGGCTTCCACTCATATTGTATCTTCAGACTGAAAACGTCCTCCTCAATAGAGTTCGGTATTTCTTCAGGGTAAGTAGCATTGGCATCAACTTGGATACATACACGGGCAAAAGTGAGACGGGTTCTCTGAGCAGTGAGAGCATCGACAGCTAACAGGATGCCTATTTTGCTGGCTATACGTGAAATACCTTCAGATTTCCAGCAAACCAGAGGCAAGTCATGTATCTTAACCCAGATAGGGATGGAGGAAAAGTTATCGCGCTTAGGACGGAATTTAGGCGACCATTTCTGGAGGAGGAAAGGTCTACCCAAGAAAAACCACACTCTCTTAGACCAGGCCATTTGAAAGTCTTCCGTAGTAGAGAAACGGAGAAGGAAAAAGCCATCGGAGAGGGATAGAAGTTGATTGACCCCTTCAAGGTCCAGGTTTTGTGAATGGCTCCTAAAAGAGCTTCATAGTAAGGGCGTCTACCGATTAAATAACCCACCAAGCAAAGTTCCTAGTTTTCCTCCCCTTTTACCAGACGATCCCCAGCAAAAGGAATAATTTCAGGCTCCAGGAGAAGAAAAGAGAGCGGAAGGTCCTTAGAAATAGGAACAAAATATTTCAATTTCAAACATAAAAAAAGTTATGGAAATCTGATTTCTTTATGTTTCAAAATATTTCAGTTCAAACATAAAGAATTCAGATTTCTAGAACTTTCTTATTGAGGTTAAACCTAATAAGGAAAGTACTACCCAAGCAATTAAGGTGATTGGGGACATAAATCTGAAAATTAATTTCAGATTTATGTTGATTGAGAATCTCTCCTAATTTAGAGGGGAATCATTTAAGAGAGGATTTAAATTCAAATCTTTGAATTTTAAACCTCCTCCTAAATTGGTGGGCTAAATTAGGAAATATTTTATGATGGAATTGAATTCAGATTTTGGGAGCTATGAGGGGAAAGGGGGCCGGTGATTGTGGTGGTGCCAAGGAGACGACGGGTGGGGAATTTGGGGAGGTGGAGCCAGCGGGTGTAGGGAGATGGGGAAGGGGAAAGCAATTGCTAGGAGAAATAAGAGAGAAAAAAATCTAGAGAGCTACAAACATCAAGTATTTCCTCCTCAAGAACTCACAAAGAGATCTTGGGAATCTCAGAAATCACAAAGAGATCCTTCTCCTCTCGTGAACTCACTAAGAGATCAAACAAGTAGAATAAACTTTCATTAACAATTCATCATTGCCCTCATACAAGAGCAAGAGCCTCTATATATAGGCCTTAAAAGAAAATGAAAACACAATTTTGCCCCTTGGGCTTACATAAGATAAGACCCTTAAATAAGAGTAAAAACAAAAATTGGATAATTAAAAATAAAAACTACAAATAAAATTTAAGATAGCGTAGGACGATCACGGCTGTCGATCTTCAGCTCCTCCTCGGATAGGCATGGACGGTTGGATGTCCGCATCATCTTGCCTCCTCGCTCCTCCTCGACCACCGCTAGAGTTTTGCCGGACCACCACCTGAGGCTCGGACTTCCGTCAGACCACCACTTAAGGCCCTGTGCTCCACCAGGCCACCACCTGAGGCCCGGACTTCTCCCGGACCACCACCTGACGCCTGGAGTTCAACCATACCACCACCCGACACATGAACTTCTATCGGACCACCACCTGAGGCCCGGAGTTCTTCCGGACCACCACAACCTAAGGCCTGGACTTCTGCTGGACCACCACCTGAGACCCGAACTTCTATCGAACCACTACCTGAGACCCGAACTTCCAACAGACCATCACCTGAGGATCGGACTTCTACCAGACCACCTGATGCCCGAACTTCTGTCGAACCACCACCTGAGGCCCAAACTTCTAAAGAACACCACCAGAGGCCCAGAGTTATTTCAGACCACCACCTGAGGCTCGGACTTCTATCGGACCACCACATGACTCCTAGAGTTCTACTAAAGTACTGCTCTACTACTATGGTCTTTCAGACCCCTGTCACATGCCGACTATGGTCCTTATAACCTTCGTTGCCTACTACGGTCTTTCCGACCTCTGTAGCCTACTAAGGTCTTTCTAACCTCTGTCATATCGACTATGGTCTTGCCGACCAAACAAACATGTCTATGCTGATTATTGTAACAACCACCATGTAATGCGCTCTATATGATGTACATTCGTGACATCAAATCAAGGCCTTCTCTCAAGGACGGGCCTCATTTGTAATCGACTGTAAATACTAGTGAATTCATTCAAACTGGGCCAAGTCCCGTGATTTTTACTTATAAATGATACACCTCTATCTAATTTATCCTCACCATTTACTTTAGTAACCATCAAATCTTTCAATAAAAAATCTTCAACACTCATGGGTGCTTAATACAAATATTTGTTCCTTTCAAGTTGCACATCTCCAAAAGTTCTTCAATGTATCGTCGCCTCCACCCCTCCTCGATTTGTAACGTATGTACAACGATTAACTTCCATCTCTTTAGGTTGTTCAATAAGATCTTGGCGCTCCCATAACTCAACCTTCTCTTTAGAATTGAAATTAAGAGGTTTACATTTGTCTGTTTTCTTATTCTCTAATTTTGATTTCTACATGTTCAAAAACTTTTAATAGAAAGTCAGTTGTGATTCATGGTAACAGATATTTTTTTTTTTTGTGTGCATTGCAAAGGTCCCCAAGCATTACTATGAAACAAATAAAATGATTGCGGAGCACTTGGAAAATCATGAACTTTATTTATTACTTATTAATAAATAAACTATGTAATTATTTTGTATGGATTAGTGTGTTATGCTATTACTATCTCTAAATGGATTATTGTGCTATAATGTTACTATTTCTAAATTGTATGCATTTAAGTGATTCTGGTATTTATGATGGTACAGTATAAATATCTCAAAGAGAAGGCACTTTTGATTATAGTCATTGATTTGCTTTGAATTCATATTGCACTCACATAAATTTTTTTCTCTCATAATTATATTTTCTTACAGTATCAATGCAAGTATTGTAAGCATCATATATGTGACAATTTTGGGATATATGACTGATGCATGCACATCATGTTACTAATAATTGTAAGTATATTATAACACAAATTACTAACTTACTAATATATATGTCACCTAACAAATAAAATGGGAAAGAATAAAGGAGGTGCTCCAACAAAATGGGAGATAGAAACTACATTTATCTACTATGACATCTGCATTCAGGAAATATAATTGGGAAGCAGACCAATTGTTCACTTTAGTAAGGAAGGGTGACAAAACTTAACCAAAAATTTTAATGAGCGTAAAGGTAGAACATATGATTGTACCCAACTAAAAAATAAATGGGATCAATTCAAGGAGTGGAAGCTTTGAAAAAATTTAATGTGCGGTGAAACTGGAATATGATTGAACCATTTGAAAAAAATAATTGATGCTTCGAATGAGTGGTGGCCGGTGGGCCAAAAATTTACATGTGTATATATATATATATATATATATATATATTAAGTTGCATGATTTCATAAAACATCATGCACTTACCAATCAACTTGTCTTTATATATTGTAGGTTTTTTCTGTAGTAAAAAAGTTTCAGTATAATAGAATTATGCATGAGCTTGAGGAAAAACTAAATATTATGTTTGATCGCGTTGTTGCTACTAGTGCTGACATATGGATTCCAAACTCTGGTATATTGCCTCTTGAACTTAGAGATGTAAAAGAAGTTGCATTTTCTGAAGAACAACACCAATATGATGGGATGAATACATTAACTACATACGAACAGCCTTGACGATCATATTATAGATGATTCACAAAGATCACAGAATACTCAACTAATAACACATAAAAGAAAAAAAATTAGAACAACTAAGCCCGGGGGAAAGCAATTGTTCTTCGAGCATATTGAGAAGCTTGTTAGTGTTCTTCAATCTATTAGTTCTACAATATAATCACCAAATGCTTCATGGAAATGTCTCACAATTGCATATACATTGAAAGAAATATCTCAAATATTCGAGATATTTGACGATCTAGAATTTTATGACTTTGTCGTTGAGTATATCAAGATAAGAATCATTGAGAGACTTTCATGGGACTCCCTAGTAATAGAAAAGTTTGTTTTATAAGAAGATGATATAACAAGAGTTTCACATCTTCATTGTAGATAAAAAATTGTTATTAAATTTATATTTTTTCAAATGTATTTACTATTTTTGGTAAACTGTTCAAATAATTGTATGTATTTATTTTTACTATATCTACAAGAAAAAGGGTATTAGCGACCATCAAAATTGGTCGCTAATACTCATAATTTGGTCGCTAAAGCTAATAGAGACCAAAAAATTTTGGGCCGCTGGTTTGTCGCAGTAGCCTCATCGCTGAGGGTTTTAGCATCCAAAATAATTTTTTGGTTGCTAAATTAGAGACCACTAATTAATGTTGGTCGCTAAAATTATACAATTTAGCAACCACTTTTTTGACGCTAATGATTATTCATTTAGATGCTACTTAGTTATTTTAATTATTAATTTTATTTATCAAATTTTTTAATAGCAACCAAAATAAAAATTTGTCTCAACAAGATCAACCAAGTAATTTAAATTCCCTTTTAATTTCATGAAATGTGATTATTTATGAGTATCAATTTTGGTCATATTTAATAAAATTTATTACTTATCCAATAATTATACCTTAGTTAAAACATTTAATATCAAACAAACACTCCTTTATATTATCGCATCTAATTACTTCTCAATAATTACACAGATAAAATACATCATAAAGAAAAAACACTAATTTTTTTACATTGAAGTAACAAAAACAAAAACTATTCATTCATAAATACAATAAATAAGGATAAGCTAGAACAAAATGAAAATGATGTTCATTCATAAACTTTTAAATATACATTCATCAATTAAAAATGCAAAAAATTAATGAACTCTAAAATCAAATATGAGAACTTACAAAATATATTTTTATTCAAAAAAAAATCATAAATCTAAAATTACACGATTTTTTCAACTTCCAAAAATAAATTGCTACTTGAAGCTTATATATACAATTATACATAACAAATCTATTATAATAATTTTATACCAATCTTATATTCCTATTCATGGTCATCGCCAACATTGCTTTTACAAAGATTTTTAGTAACATCACTCTTTTCCAAATCTAGTAGATGAAGAAGTTTTAGATGAATCCAGTGCGAGCATCAGATAGGGAATATATCGATTAATGAGGAGCTGATGCAACCAGTTTATCCTGCCAAAAAATGCACATATACATTATTAAAAAAAAATTAGCTTCCATCGATCTATTGCTCAATAATAACAATAATAAAAACTACCTTTACATATATGATCTATTAATTAATTAGGACGAAAATCATCCCTACAGGCCTTTCGGCCTCCACATGCATGGTTTATTCGAATGCTAGTTATCTAATTAGACCATATAGATTTGTACAAGTTACTTACAATTATCTTACTGGTGCCAGTGACACAATGCATACATCTCCAAATTGCTGCTACTGTATGTGCTTTTCTTCTTTTTTGTTCCATCGACCTTAAACTCCAATTGAACAAACATATATGTAACAGAAAAGAAACCTAGATCACTACAGGCAAAATGCCCATTATCGGCGGTTCTAACCGGAGGTTCATGGACCGCCGGTTTTACCGGCAGCCTAGCCGGCGGTCACACCGCCGGCTTTTAATGGCGGCCGAACCGATGATTTTGCTACGTTAAGCCGCCGGTAATAGCGGCGGTCCCTAAACCAACGGTAAACCGCCGGGCATCAATATGAACCGGCGGTTTACCGGCGGCTTGGACTGCCGTTGATAAGTGATTTTTTACCGGCGGTCCCGCCGGTAGAAGCATTAATACTATGTAGATTAAATAATTTCAAGTCAAGGCAGAGGATAAAAATTGTGAAACTAACATATTTCAAGAATCCAAGGCTTATTGTTATATTGTCTTCGTGTCTTTTAGATATTCTTCTATGGTCATGAGTGGGTGCTCAGTATGTTGTAATTATATGACTCCTAATTATTATGTAGAATTTTGGAAAAATAAAAAATAGATATGTATATTCACGTTTGATTAATAGAATTAGCTTTTGTTGATCTTTTTATTACTAAAAAAAAATTAGATTACTTTGATAGTATGATTAAAAGATAAAAGAAAAGAATTCTTCGAATTTAAATTCTAGGGTGTGACTTAGTATTAGAACAATAATTGCTGAAAGAATTGAATTGTTACCAGAGTTGTAGCAATTGTTTGTGCGTCAAGAAAATATTAGGTAGATTAATGTGCATTATTTTTCATACATAATCAATTGCATATGTGAATTATTTATATATAACTGTGCAAGTAAACAATTAAAGGATATCTCAAAGCAAGATGTGTCAAATGAGCAACATTGTGTAGCTTTGATACTGTTAGACAGTGTTATTTGAATCCTATTCTAATAAATTGTTCGTGTTTTTGAATCAAAATATAGTCATGCAAATCATCAAAATGAGACAATTAAACAATATAGTAATACAAAAATATGCATCTTATGAAATAATAATAAAGATCCATAATTAATTTGACGAGACAAAATGATATAAATTTTAAAAATAAAAAATAAACACCAATATGTTATGTATATATAAACATATAATCTCTTTGAGGAAGAATAGTCAAAACTAATTAAAGATCAGTAGTGATGAATGAAGCTAAGGCTCAATTTTGGTCTGCTCTTCACTACTTCGCTTTTAGACTACTGATGCAACTCTATTTGGCGATTACTTTCTAGGTGTTTTTCAAAAAAAATTAGGGAGAGCAAAATCTAACAATTGTCTGCTAAAATGTAGTCGCTATAAGAAAGTTATCCAACTTTTTCAAAATGAATATATGCAGCCTCAGATAAAAAATTGCTTTTCTTACAACAATTCCAGAGTTATCTTTGCACACAATTGCACCCACCCCAAACCAACCCTTAGCCAAATAGATGAGATTTGACTTTCATGCCTTTTTGCACAAATACTGCTAGAAATTATTTAACTATTTGAAATATTAATGTAACCTAATATTCTACATTACATTCTTTTCATGAGTTTGGACATCAAGGAACTAATAACCAAAATAGAATAATTTAGTTTGATTTGTAAAAATATTTTAATTAAAATTTCAATAAAAATTAAATCATACTCTCCAATTGGTTTATGAACTTTAACAGGCATAATTTGTTCACGCACACGTTCAGAACAAAATTCAATATATTTTAAAAGTTCATGTCATATTCAAAAGTAGATTCAATTTTCACTATAAGCTCACACTCATAATCAAGATCAAATATAACTATAAAGTTCATTTTCAATTTCTGATGAAGGCTTAAATTTAAAATGAATCTCATACTCATATACAATTTCAAATTCAAATTATAATACTCTCACAATTTTAAGTTTTTAAGTTCATTTTCATGACTGAATTCAATTTCACTTAAAAGGTTTAAGCTCCAATATAATTTCAAACTAAATTGTTTACGCTTTTTCAAGTATAAAGTTTGTGTTCATGAATATGTTCTAATATGGGTCAGAGGTTTAAGCTCCAATATGATTTAAAACCCAATTGTTTACTCTTTTTCAAGTATAAAAAGTTTGTGTTCCCGTTCTAATATGGGTCGGAATATAGATTTAAACATCGAATATAACCTCATAGTATAACAACAAATCGTCTTCTATGTATAAAATACCCTCAAAAGATGATTATAAACTATAATTTCTTCAAATGGACCATGTTTAACTAAGTACGATTCTTTTCTCAGCGTATATTGAATAGACTTATAAAGGAAGGTAATGATCTTTAACAAGGGTAATAATTCTAAACAAACAAACAAATAATAAAATATCCACAAACATGATATCATGCATCTAGCTACAATAGCATAATCGTAAAGAGAAGAAAGCAGAGGGTTTGGACTCTACTTAGTGTATGAGTAAAACAAACAAACAATGACAAAGGTAGGTATCAAATCTCTTCCACAATTTAAATTAGAGAAGCTAACAAGGCAACCCTCTTGAACACAAGTAAATAATGACAATGGAAAAAAAATTATTAACAACAATACCACTGAATAGCAATTAATAAACTTCAAAATCAATAGATGGACAGAAAGAACACGTCACATATGCTGAATAGAGATTTGAAGCAACTGAACTAGGGAATCCAATGAAGCTAAATAAATGAGCTTGCGATCTAAGCAATAAACCAAACTGATCAAGGAGATATCTAGCTCTCATAAAAAATACTAGCATTGTGAAATTAATGAAAAATACCAACATTGTGAATTAAAAACCAAAGGAGATTTCTAGCTCTCATAAGCACCACATCATAAGCCTATTACAACAAAAATAAACCACAAAATTGGAAATAAAATATTTAAAACAACATCAAAATTCAAAATATCATTATGATTGTCTCAATGCTTACATCCAACATTTACAACAAATAAGGACATTTAGATTTAAATCAGTCAATTTCAAATGTATAAGAAATGATGTAAACAAAAGAATTTGAACAAAATGATTGCTACCATGATAAAGCATAGTGAGACATTTTAGTTAGTTCTGTGCTAATTCAAACTTCTATTTCCTAAAAACTTTTTAAATCAGTTGGCATGGCATGGCATGGCTTTGTAAAGGGGGTCTTTAAAATTTTGGAGTACAACCAATAAGAGGAAAACTTAATCATCTTAAGGGAAATAGCCTAGATCACCATTGGAGACCCCTAAATGACAATACAATGATAGAGGTAGCGTGCAAACGCTATCAAGACATTTGCTTAAAAGCATGAACCTTTTAAATAGTGCACAATAGCTTACTAACTGAGCATTTTGTGTTAAAGATGAACAGCTCAAAGAAATCTATCATTGTTTGGATCACTTTCACAATGTTAGTTGCTGTTATGTAGAAAGGTGCAGCAAAATTATGGGAAAAAAATGCTCCTCTGAGGAACCATGATGGTACCCTATTTTGTTTACTATTCATGTTGAAGAAACAAAAAAATCTTCTAAAAGGATCAATAGAGTCATTGGTAATATATATATATGATGGGAGATTAAAAAATAATGGATTTAAAATCAAGCAAAAACTGTATAAAAATTATAATGGATGTCCATGACTTGAGGGTTGAATAGAATTATTTTTAGCGAGTAAAAGATTTTACATGTTTTGAATCTATATTGACCCTCATAATTAATCCATAAAATTGGATTATAGTAAACCTTTTTATAAGTTTATTTCTCAAGCTTTTTGAAACAAATGAAAAATAAAACTTAGTTCATTGAACTACAACATTCTAAATGTTGAAACAACTAAATTCATTTGGTTTAATCACTTTGATTCATAGCCTGATTAAATACCATATTTGAGCAAGATGTTACGAGTCTGGAGATGAAGTTTAAGATAATTAAAACAACTGCTTTAAACTTCAAAGGCATATGATGTATTCCAAGTATTGCACTTCAAGCATTATGATTCAAGAATTCCCTGAGCAAATTTGGGCCCGATTACACTATCCTCATCAAATCATTAAATGTTAATCCCCTCCAAGTGATTGAATAATTGCTTCAATAGAATTAATTTTAGCTTTTTTTGTATATTTATATGAATTTGAAAAGCTAAGGAGCTTTTATGCAAAAATTGGACTATTTGTCTATTTAAGACCTTGGGAATAAGAAAGAAGGGAGAGTTTTTGGTTGATAAAATTAGTGAATTGTTTTTTTCTTAAGTGCAGCTGCCCATTGGGCTTTCTCTTGGAGTCTCCAAGAATCCTTTTCTCCTCTTCCAAGTCTCATCTGAGACCCCTCCAACCAATTCTTTCCAGCCACAGGTTTGTCTTCGAGTCTCCAAGGTCTTCTTTAGGCCTTAAACGAGCCTTTATTCCCTACATCTACCCAACCTCCATTCCACATGTTTGGGACCGCTTTCTAAATTATTTTTTAAAAAAAGCAATAAGAAAGTCATCTCAAATAAAACCTTAATATTAATAGAGTACATAAAATTTTGAGGATTAAAAAAATTAGCTCAGAATAATTACCGCAAATATACAAGCTGCAACACAATAAGTTAATATTCAGATATATTGGGAGTTGGTCTCAAATAAACTTTGTTGGTGCATGTGAAGACCAACATTCAACATATGTATATAATTTTTATAAAAACGTTTTAAGATTTTGCCGAATCAAATCTCACTCTAATCTGCTTGTATTTTCG